CATCATTGTCTTCAGTGAGTTACTATCTGATAATAGTTAGTAGTTTGAACAACTACTTCAAAGAGATAGTGGTGGATTTCAAACACATTTTATTCACACAACGAAACAAGTTTACAGTATCTATTACCCTTGATAGTATGAACGGTGTATTTTATAAAACATTTAATTGTTTAAATTCATTTAGTATTGTTTGTTTGAATCTTCCCATCGATGTGTTAGGACTGCAACTGGTCAGTCTCTAATTAGCATATGTGCATACTGTGCGTAATGCCTCGATATAGCCTTAATTCACAAGCACTTTAATCAAAGATGGATAGTGGCTAGCAGTGGAATCCAGGACGTGCGTTTCGTTCTATTTGGGACTAGTCAGCTGGATGCACCTGCATCTCAGAGTTGATTTATATTCTGGGACTCGAACCCAGTACCTCACACAAATCGAATGAGATTTGTGCGACGCATATGTATCTGATGCTTCCTTGTACCAATATTTATGTGTTTAAATAAATAAATAATAATAAGGTCTAGTATGTTAAGGTAGACAAGATTGAAACAAACCAAAGAAGTGTATTATTTTATGCCAATTTTATGTATAAGCATGAAATGGATTAATTTATACATTGAAGAGAATAGCGTAGTAACAATAAACACGTATACATATTATGTATTTAAATATTAGGATACGTCATCAAGACCAATGTATTATAATGTTCATACATATACATGTAAACAACAATGCTCTATTAATATAGTTTAGATGAAAATGTATAGAATACCATAATACAATATGTCTGAAATGAAGGACACATTTTATTGATTTGAGAAACCAAGTATAGATATGTTGCGATCAGACAAATGCACACATACCGTCTCATACGCCCACAGAAAGAAGAGGGACGAAGAAATATATATATATATATTGAAATGTTGCTAATACTACCATTACGTTGTATTACAAACATAAAATGTTGATTTCATCTTGTTGTGCTAATGAGGTATGGCAACTTGGACAGATGCATATGTGTGTAGCTGACTGACTAACTGACTGGAACTTCAGGAGGAGAGATGCAACGACTGCTTGAGCATACTTTCACTTCTATTACAGTATGGAGGCTAAATCCTTACTTACTTACTTACTTACGCCTGTTAAGCCCAATGGAGCATAGGCCGACGACTAGCATTCTCCGACCCACTCTGTCCTGGACTTTCCTTTCCAGTTCTATCCAATTTTTGTTCATTCTTTTCATGTCTGTCTCCATTTCTCGGCGTAATGTGCTTTTTGGTCTTCCTCTTTTCCTTTTGCACTTCAGGATTCCATGTGAGGGCTTGGTTTTGTGATGCAGTTGGGTGATTTCCTCAATGTGTGTCCTATCCACTTCCAGCGTTTCTTCCTGATTTCTTCCTCCGCTAAATCCTACCATTACTATTGTGGAATCTTTCAGTAAACGGAGAGGAATTTGAGGGTGATATCTTTGAAAAATCCCACTTTAATAATAATCATGATAGTAATAACAACAACCTTATGTTTACCAGGAATTGATTTTACAATAGATTTCCCAAATTTCCGGTAGAAAGTCAAGACTATAATAATCAATTAAGTCGGGAATAAAACAGTAAACATTGTGAAAGAATTGTCAGTCAGTCAGTTACAACGTAGAACTTCGTACGTATGTACATCAGTTCGAGCTGCCATACCACATTAGCACAGAGATTCAGTTGTCGATTCAAATCCCATAGTGGTAGAAGTAGTAAGATTATAAGCAGTAAGCGGAAAGATTAGGGTTTGAAGATGTTATTCAAGGAGTATAATGCAATGAAAGAAATTTGGAAAGAGAATAAGGATAGGGATATGAAGAATTCAAAAGGTTAGAATTTGGGAGAACACAAAGTGTCGATGCACCTTCGCCATTGCAAACGATTTTGAGCCATGTCATTCAAGGTCTCTAACCATCGATTGCTATCATCTCGCGAAAGAATTAAATTCATAGTTACCCAATGTCAGGAATTGACTAAAGTCAAAATAGATGATGCAGTGTGTACCAACTTAGTGATCGACAAGTGAAGTGCTAGACAAGAAGCCTGAATATTTTGGGTCAGAAACCTGATAGGGTTGTGGATGCCCACCGCTGAAGAGTCCCCTAATTGTGATGAAACAGCTTCCTAGTGCTTCCCGACTTTCAAAAATTGTTTAAAATAAATCGGTTCGTGATGTCAACTATTAAATTGGATGATGTTTATCAATCCCCTAAAATAATGACTTGAGAGCCATTAGAAACCATGTAGCAGTAAACAGATGTTCGTTTTCTAGTCTGACACCATTCAGCAATAAACATTTTATGACACAAAACCTTTAAATTTAGCAGTCAAGAGAACAAAACCATTTTACTTCTGAATCAGAATGACAATCCTGGATATGTTTTTGACTTCGGTCACTTTGTGATATTCCACAAAGTGCGAAGCCACCATAATCAATATATATGACTCTAAAGATACCATCCCCCTTTTTACTTGGGTTTTGAAAAGTAAATCTCAAATCTAGTCATTGGAAAGCTCACTAATAAAATGAATATAGTTCTACATAAATGTGAGCCAATACAATTTTGTGGTAGCAATTATAACAAACAGTTTTAGATTATATCAGTCAGTCAGTCAGCTACAACGTAGGACCAGGCACACATATGCATAGGTCCAAGTTGTCATACCTCACTCATTAGCACAACAAGATCAACACCCAATTCATAGAAGGAGTTAATTTAGTGGTGGTAGTATATAAAAGAAAGGTTGTATATGAGGATATACTACAGAAAGGACAGATATGAAGCAATTTTAATCTCAGTGTTTAAGGGAAGATAAAGATTGCATACACCTACGCCATTGTGATCGATTCTCAGCCATGTCACCCAGAGTCTCCAACCATTGGTTATGATAATCACGTGAACCCTAACCAGGTAGTCTGCATCTGTCAACATGGCTCAGACTAGAAGTTAGTGACTTCAAGCACTGACGCCACGTTTTGGTTTGGACGCCCCTAACTCTCTTCCAACCATCTCCTATACTAGTCAGCATAGCGCGTCGAGGTAATCGGTGTTCAGGCATACGTAACACGTGACCCAGCCATCTCAGTTGATGAAGATTCATCACCTCATCAACTGATTTACCATCATTCCCTAATACCCTGTGTCTAACCTCACTATTACTTACCCGGTGATCCCAGCAGATACGAGCAATATTTCTAAGGCATCTGTGATCAAATACTAGTAACTTGCGAGTATCTTTTACTCTTAATGGCCATGTTTCACAGCCGTAAAGTAGAACAGAGCGAACTGCTGCGCAGTATACTGGTCCCTTAATTGATAAACGGATATCTCGTCTTCGCCATAGGTGACGTAAGATTAAATAAACTGGGAAGAAAATGGTACGGGATTAATTACCTAATGGTATTTAACCTAGAACATGCTATTATTGTATCGAATGAATATATCGATTTAAATGAATTAGCAGATAGACTTCAAGTTTAGAGAGAATTTCAGTTTTGAAACTTGCATCAAGTACAGAGATAGCTTAGTGGTTAAAGCAATTGGCTTTCAATAAGTAGATCGCTGGTTTGAACTTTGTCCTACCTACTTTAGTTTCGGTAGACAAACAATATTAATGCTCTACACACATAAACAATAGTACACTGCAAATACTGAACTCTGTTGCAATGTACAGTTGTGAAGGGTCGCTGAAAAAAAATTGACTTTAGGTATTTGCTTATTACTAACCTGTTCATAATGTTCTGCATATGCTTGAATCATTGAAAAGGCTAATATGAAATAAGAATTGTTAGATGGATTTAGTCGATATGAGAAATTTGTACCGACTAAGGAAACTAATCTTGTATAATTAAGATAATCATGAACTCACAAATAAGCATTTCATATCTATCAACTAGGTTAAAGCACTGGACATTCGCTTTTCGTCCACTCAATTTCGTAAATAACACCCCTGTTGAGAGAAGGCAGTGAGTAGGACTTCTGTGGCAATAGCTGTATACACGTTGCCATGTGAGAGCATTTCGAGAGGAAGAACTGACTCTCCCAACCCTCTTCCGTATCAGGGCATTTGAGGATTAACGACTAGTATTAACTTGGATTGTCTATCTTTATTTGAATGAAAATAAATGAACTTTTAGTTCAATTGAGTCACAGAATAGTAATAATTAATATTTTCCTGGTTAGTCTTTGAACTTGACACAATTTGGTTGATGAGATTTTAGTCAGCTGAGTAATTAATAGAAAGCTGCAGCGTATTAACAACTGAATAGCTAGAGAAGGAAAGCATACAGTCTGGATTAGTCCATGCTTTACATTGATTGTCAATTGTTAGCAGGATAAATACATCATTTATGGGTTTGGATGATAAACAAAGACCGTAGTCGTAAAAGTTATCGCTAAAAGGTAGTCATTAATAACATTATCACCGACTGCCCAGACGTGCAATGTTCCATGGTGTAGAAGTGGGTTGCAAGAAAGCTACGAGAGGCCAGACCAAAACGTGGCACAAGTCCATGAAGTCACTGACAATTGGACTGAGCCATGTTGGTAGGTGTAGACTACCTGGTTGGGATTCGCGAGATGGTTGCAACCGATGGTTAGAGACCTTGAATGACATGGCTCAAAATCGTTTGCAATGGCAAAGGTGCATCGACACTTTATGTTCTCCCAAATTCTAACCTTTTGAATTTTTCATATCCCTATCCTTATTCTCTTTCCAAATTTCTTTCACTGCATTATACTCCTTGAATAACATCTTCAAACCCTAATCTTTCCGCTTACTGCTTATAATCTTACTACTTCTACCACTATGTGATTTGAATTGACAACTGAATCTCTGTGCTAATGTGGTATGGCAGCTCGAACTGATGTACGTACGTACGTACGAAGTTCTACGTTGTGACTGACTGACATTAACAACCTTAGTAAAAAAACATGAAAATGTCTTAGCACATAATATGAACTTACTAGAAACGCATAATGACAAGCAACCAACCATTCACTTGATGCTTTCACCATAACATCACGTTCTTCCCAATAACCAGATTGACTATGATCTAATAAGTGTTGTTTACTCATTAATTTTATGGCATAAACACGTCGTGTACGTTTGTGTCTGGCTAATTCAACTCGACCAAATCCTCCTTGCCCAATCACTTTAATTAATTCAAAATCAGTATATTTTGTGCGTCGTGATTCAATAATTTTGGCAGCTTGACTATATCTATAAAAGATGATAAATGAAAGGAAATGTTCTTTAGTAACATAAGGTGTAGTGGAAAAGATTGCTAGTTTGAGAACAACTCCGTGATATGACTCAGTAGTGAATGATTTGACACATACATGAGGTATTTAATGTATAACTAAATGAACCGATTATCTTAGAGATTACACGGTCTAGCTGCTACTAGTCATTCGGTCTCAGGTCCGAGTCCTCCAAAACTGCCTACATTTGAGCAGCCAAGGAGTACCATTATTTTATATAAAGCATTTCGCAGCCATTTAAACAAAATTGTACATTATTACTGAGCTACACTACATTGTGTGACGCATTTCCTGGAGCTATGAATAAATAAAACCCTGAAATATTGATGGAGTTAGCTTTTGATTAAAACATCGGTTTATTTTTTAAGAGTCCGTGATGTGATTCAGCAATATTTTAAATATTAGTGTTCTTGGGAGCGAGCTATACTTGTTATTTGAAGATCTTAACATTTTCTATATCATCTCAGATAGTTACATAGAAAGCCGGCGACCATACCACGTTGAAAGCACCGTTGTTACATAGAAAATGTTATATTCTCACAAAGGACCAGATGATCGGTTTGCGGCGTGAATCTACAGAATAAAAGATAATGTCTACAAGGACTAATGTACCATGATTTCATTTATTTACTTATTTAAACACCTAAACATTGGGACAAAGGGGTGTCAAATACATATGCTCCACACAATAACCATGAGGTTGTGAAGAGATAGAGAATGGAGGGTATAATAAACGAAGAGCAACAATGAACATAAATTATTGTATGAGAGTGAAATAATAATAATAATAGTAATAATTTTTTATGAAGCAAAAGAAAGTTACAGTAGTATTGCCACTGGCTTCTATTATGAGCCATGTCTGATAATGTCTCAAGCTACTGTGTCGCATCATCTTTAGAATCCCAACCAGGGAGTCGTGAAGGACCAACGGGAGCGAGTCCTGTATAGTTTTCTTTCCTACCATGACACCATGTCATAGTGACCACTTACTCTTTTTCCGACCAATCTCAGAGTCGTCAAATAATGCACGATGTAGAATTCGCTAGGACAACATTCGTAAAACACGTTCAAGCCACCGAAGTCGGTGTTTCAAAATGGTGAACAGTCCTGTCCAACGAATCAAATGAGGGCCTAATGTCAAGAAACAACACGTTGGTTGACCTGTGATAAGTATGACGGTATTCTAACATTTGGTGGAGGGTGAAAATATAATCAATAAATCCTCGATCACAACAAAAAGTAGCCTGCTCCTCCTGAGTCAATCTTTCTCGGGTTTGAGTATTCTATGAAGTATTACGGAAGACAATAGTTTGGACGTAATCAGGAGTAGACTTATCCCTCGATAGTTGTTTCAGAAACGACATGAATCCTTTTTAAGTTTAGAAACAACTTTCAACCCATTCTATAATGTTGGAACACTCTCTAAATGCCAGACATTTGCAAGCAACTCAGTCAGTTTCTTAACCAAAGGTTCGCCAACATCTTTAAAAAGGGCCGAAAGTCATCTGGGTCTGGTGATTTGTGACGCTTCAAGAGTTCGAGTTGCTTGCGGACTTCTACCTCGTTAGATGGATCACCGTCCATGCAGAGACAGTGTGATTGATGCTGCCAAGAAACAGCAGTTGAACTATTCCTTCAGAAACTTTGCCCATCGCCTTAGACGTCGGTAGATGTTGTTGATTGACATCCCATCAGCTTTATAGATTGTATCACTCGCACCAGACTTCTTGCCACCAGTGACCCGGATGACGTGAAAGGGCTTCTGACAATTGCCAGATTCAGCTGTTGTTCGAAAACCGTTATCACATACCAACCTTCAAGCTTTTCGGTCCTTACGCAAGCTTTGCAAAATTTCATTAAATAAAAACCTTCGATCATGGTCAAACTCGCAGTCACCTGGAGTAAACGGACATGCTTTGATGAGTAGTAAGGAGCCTGTAGAAACAAAGTGCTTATAAGCGAGACATTTCGCGAAGCCGCAAGCGACATTTCTAGCCAATCTCATAACATGTCACTGCACCCAATGCTCATCTATATCTTACGGTGGGCTGATCAGTGAGTCAGTCAGTCACAACATAGAACTTCATACGTATGTACATCAGCTCGAGTCGCCATACCACATTAGCACAGAGATACAGTTGTCAATTCAAATCACATAGTGGTAGAAGTAGTAAGAGTATAAGCATTAATGTGGAAGATTAGGGTTTGAAGATGTTATTCAAGGAGTATAATGCAGTGAAAGAAATTTGGAAAGAGAATAAGGATAGGGACATGAGGAATTCAGAAGATTAGAATTTGGGAGAACATAAAGAGTCGATGCACCTTTGCCATTGCAAACGATTTTGAACCATGTCATTCAAGGTCTCTAACCATCGGTTGCAACCATCTCGCGAATCCCAACCAGGTAGTCTACACCTACCAACATGGCTCAGTCCAATTGTCAGTGACTTCATGGACTTGTGCCACGTTTTGGTCTGGCCGCCCTTAGCTTTCTTCGAACTTATTCCTACACCATAAAACATCTCACGTCAGGGCAGTCGGTGGTTGGGCATACGTAATACATGTGTCCCAGCCATCTCAACTGATGAAGTTTCACTACTTCATCAGTCGATTTGCCATCCCTACCTAGTATCAGTTTCCTAACAACTGCATTACTTAACCAGTGGTCCCAGGATATATGAGCAATGCTTCGAATACATCTATGATCGAATACTAGTAGCCTACGAATGTCCTCTACTCTTATCGGTCATGTTTTACTGTCACAAAATAGGACGGAACGAACTGCTGCACAGTAAACCTGTCCTTTGGTTGGTAGACGGATATCTCACCTACGCCATAAATGGCGCAAGTTAGCGAAAGCTAGACGAGCCTTCTGTATCCGTGCTGAGATTTCGTCACACACCAGACCACAAGGGCTGATGAGACTCCCAAGATAAGTGAAGTAGTCAACACGCTCAAGTACTTCACTCCCTATCATTAGTTCGGGTGTCGATGCAACCCAATTCTGAAGTAACATTTTGTATTTCGAGGGAGGGAATCGCATCCCGAAGATGCCTGCATAGTTGCTTATAGTGGTCAGAAGACTTTATTTTGTCAGTATCCTCACCGAATAAAACTATGTCGTCGGCGTATTCTAAGTCAACAAGTGAATCTCCCGGTAAAAGTTCAACTCCAGGAGATTGAGATGATGAAAGTGATATCTCTAAAAGCTTGTCAACGACAAAGTTAAACAATAATGGGGAGAGTGGACAGCCCTGAAGAACACCACTTGAGGTAACCAATTCTGATGACAGATCGCTATTGGCTCTAACTCGACCAGTTATGTTCGAGTAGAGAGTAGGTTAATGTACTTATTTGGTACTCCTTTCAGTGACAAACACTGCCATAGGACCTCACGATGAACGGAGTCAAATGCCGCCTTAAGGTCAAGAAATACTACTATTGTGGGACGTCTGAATGTGTGTCTATGTTTTAGGACCTGACGTAGAGTGAATATCTGGTCTATGCAACCACGTCCAGGTCGAAAACCAGCCTGGTTTTCTCTAGTCTGCTCTTCACAAGCTTTGGTTAGGCGCCTAAGTATTATTGAAGCTAATGTTTTAGACACTATATTAGTCAAACTGATTCCTCTGTGATTGTCACAAGAGGACTTTTGTCCTTTCTTATAGATTGGCACAATCAGTGATTGGGACCAGTCAGATGGAATTACGTCAAGTGCCCAGGCTCTACCTAAGACCTCAGTCAATCTCCCTATCTTTCCGAGTTCTTATTGATCCGTTTAGTCGGACAGCGCATAGACGACTGTCTACTGGGATCCAGTCTAAAAGAGCTAGTTCTGCCCTAGGACTTAATGCTATACCTACTCCAGCGAGGCCACGGGAAGCAGCATCAGGGCTTCCAGATACACGAAGCGTGTATCCAGATGGTTCTTTATTTTGATAAGGTGAGGTCAAATAAATGAGGCTACTCAGATCTTGTATGCGCGTTTCGGAGGAGCAGCACACATCGATGGTGTAAGATTCTAAAGTCCTAGCAAAGGAAGCCTGTTGTCCTATTTGGCACAATGTACGGACATTAAAAGTTCTTACATGTAGTTTAGAGCGTGGTTTCAGGAGACCAGGAATAACGTTCCGTGTACTCGCTGTTACGCTGGTTGTCTGAAGGAAACACCTTAATGCCGTCACACCTCTGTACAGTCAGCAGTACGACTTCGCCTTCGGACCTTGGGATTGCTGCTTTTAGTCTTACCGCTATTCAACCGACCTGTCTGGCATGGTAGGACCTTGAGGAACGATTGTTCCAGCCAGCATGGCTCGATTGGTTCATCACGACAGGCAAGCCCGACCACCACGTCAAGGTAGCAGCAACGGTCGGGTTGACTAATATGGTGTCTAAAATATTAGCTTCAATAATACTTCGACGCCTAACCAAAGCTCGTGAAGAGCAGACTAGAGAAAACCAGGTTGGTTTTCGATTTGGATGTAGTTGTGTAGACCAGATATTCACTCTACGTCAGGTCCTAAAACATAGACACACATTCAGACGTCCCACAATAGTAGTATTTCTTGACCTTAAGGCGGCATTTGACTCCGTTCATCGTGAGGTCCTATGGCAGTGTTTGTCACTGAAAGGAGTACCAAATAAGTACATTAACCTACTCTCTACTCGAACATAACTGGTCGAGTTAGAGCCAATAGCGAACAGTCATCACAATTGATTGCCTAAAGTGATCCACTTAGGGGAGTTGGAAAACCCTGATTCCAAACCAATGGTGCACATGGGCTCCAGTATCCTGAGAAAATAAATGGCGTATGAATCAATCGTTGGTCACCGGCTACCATGGGACTGTATCTCCTTACGATGCTCCACTGCCTTGTGGACTAGACCTTTAGGTCAAAGGCTCCGGGTGTGGTCCCCTAAGAAAACCACCTGCTTCAGTCTGGGCATCTGGGCAGTATC